TTTCTACATGCCATAGCTGGCTGGCCATCAAGGTGACATTGGTCCTTTGACAGCTATAGCCATACTTTAATTATGAAATTTTTTTCCCCCAAATAATATAGAATTTCTCTCGATATCTTTCAAAGAACCAACTCAATTCATTGATTATTTTTATTGTTTTCTTAGTCTCAGTTGCATTAATTTCTACTCTGATCTTTATAATTTCCTCCTTCATTTTGACCTTTGGGCTTGGCTTACTCTTCTTTTGCTAGAAGCTTTAGGTTCAACATTAGGTTGTTTATTTGAGCTCACTCTGTTTTCCAAACATGAATATCCATTGCTATGAATTTCCCTTATATGACTGCTTTCATTGTGCCCCATAAATTCTGCTATGTCATATTGGCATTATCATTTAATTTTAGAACCTGTCTTATTTATTTATTTCTTAATTTTTGGTACTGGGGATCAAATCCAATTTCTTAATTTCATCTGTCACCCATTGGTTGTTCAGGAAAGTATTATTTAATTTCCATCTGTTTATGAAGTTCTTGTGGTTTCTTTTGCCATTGATTTCCAATTTCTTTGCATTATGGCCTGATATGCCTGGGATAATTTCAGTTCTTTTGCATTTACTCAAGCATGTTCTATGAGCGAGTATGCTGTCTATTTTGGAAAATGTCCCATGTGAATCTGAGAAGAATGTGCATTCTGATGTTGTGGGGTGGAGTACTGTAGACATCTAAGTCCTTTTGTTCAAAGGTTTGGTTCAATTCTGATACTTTGTTGATATCTTGTCTAGTTGACCTCTTTATTTGTGACAGTAGGGGACCTTAGTACATTACAATTATAGTAGTGCTTACTTGATTTTTTTATATCCATTAATATTTATTTTATGTAGTAGTGCATATATATTTATGATTGTCATCTCTTCCTCTTGGATTGTTTCCTTTACAAGGATGTAGTGACTTTCTTTGTCTCTTAATCAGTCTTGGCTTGAAATCCACTTTTGGAATAGAATACCCTCCCTTGCTTTTTTCTGCGTTCCTGTCACATAAAGTATTGTTTTCAATCCTTTGACTTTCAGTCCATGAATTTCATTTTGAATTAAATGTATTTCTTGTAAGCAGCATATTGTTCGATTTCCTTTCTGATCCATTCTGCCCAACTGTTTCTTTTAATTAGTGAGATGATACCATTTACATTGATGATTATAACTGACAGGTACCAACTTATACTTATACTATTTTCCTGTTGTTGGTTGCCTTTTTCCCCCTATGTTTAGTTGCTTGCCTTGCCTGCTGTAAATATTCTGTTGTAAATCATGGAGTTAGACCTTGTTATCTTTTTCTAGATGTCCTTCAGAATATTTTTAAATGGCCATGAATTTCTTCAGGTGCTCTTTGCCATGGAAATCTTACTTCTCAATTTTGAAAGATGGTTTTGCAGAGTACATCAATCTGGGCCAGAGGTTGTTCTCTTGGGACTTGAAGTACTTCACTCCACTCTTTCCTTGACTTGAGGGTATGTGTTGAGAAGTCAGCTGTAATTCTGATGGGCCTTCCTTTATAGGTGATTTGTTTCCTTTCTCTTACAACTTTTAATATTCTGTTCTTGTGTTGAATTTTGGGAATCTTGACTATAATATCCTTTGGTGAAGTTGTTTTTTAAATCTATACATCAGTATGCCTCACTTATCAATATGTGAAATTCTTTTTCCCTACTTGGAGGTTTTCTGCCATTACTTCTATGAACAGTTTTTTTTAATGTCCTTTGTTCTATCTCCTGCCTTCTCAATGATTCAAACCAATCTCATGTTATTTTTCTTTGCATCATCTAGCAGCTGTTTGATTGATTTTTTGTGGTCCTTTGCTATTTTAAGAGATCTTTCTTTTCATGATAACTTATGGCAATCTTGTCTTCTACATCTGATATTCTGTCCTCACATTGGCTCACTGTGCTGTGTATACTTTCAATGGATTTTTAAATCTTTTTGATATCTGTTTGAATCTGTTTCATGGATTCCATTTCTTTCCTATGTTGAGCATTTATGGTTTCCATCTTTTCCATTTCCCTAAGCTTCTCTATATTTTGTTTATCTGTATCTGCTCTGGAGTCAATAACCATCTCTTTCATTATGGACACCATCTCTATAGTTATTTGAGAAATCTGATTTGATTTTTTCCAGAGCTTCATTTATCTGCTTTGTTACTACTGCTATTACCACTTCAGCGAGTCCAGGTGGATGGGTTTTGAATTGTTCCACCTCATTGCCCCCTGAGTTTGCATTTGGTGAGCTGAAAGTATGGGGTTGTCTCTTGCTTAAGTGTCTTTCTTTTTTTTTTTTAATTTAGTTTCTGGGTTGATGTTTATAAACTGTTTATGGCAAATAGCTTTATTGTTAGTACTTAGAATCCCAATGACTACTTCTCAAAGATGTCATCCAGACGTGGCTGCCTTTTGAGTTTTGAGGATGTTACAATATCCTATCTTTTCAATTTGTTGAGCTTGAGAAGTTGCTGCCTATTTCACCTAGTCCCCAGTTCTTTGGCTCTGGCCTATAGTATTATTTATAACTCTTATGCAAGCTCAGTCTTTATGTACCAGGAAAAACTAATTAGAACAATATGTCACCTTGGCTAAAGTGGTACAATCAGCAATAACAATGGCATCAGACAGCCTAGAAAATGACAACCTGTGGTAACTATTAATTTGCCATATTTAGCCATATGAACTAGATTGGTGGTTATATAGCAAAATCTAAAACAAAACAGAAAATTGTATACAGTAAATATATCCTCAGTTTGGTGATTTTACCCTTAGGGGATAAAATTTAAAAAGGGTAAGGTGAAAAAATAGAGAAACCAGAGAAGAGGAAAAGATTAGAAGCAAGGCTGGAGGACAAAGGAAGATCTTACAAACTTTGACAAACTGGTGAAGAAGACAGGAAGGAAAAAGAGAAGGAAGAAATAAAAACAAAAACAGAACACAACAACAAACCTAGAAAAATGTTCACACTTATATAAAAACAAGAACAAATAATCAAGAAAAAATGAAAACAAGAAAAGAAAATTAAAAAGTCCACTTCAAGATGTGTCTCTGCTGTCACTGGTAGACAAGGTGGGGAGACAGAGTCCAGATCCATGCTGATTAATCCCTATATGTCAGCAGTAGATTTAGAGCAGGGTAGTAGATAATCACAGTAAGCCTGCACCTTTGGTTCTGAAGTTCAGGCTGGTTTCTGGTTGTGAGGCTGCAACCTATTTTGTTCAGCCTACAAGACTCTATGTTCCTCCTGCTGACTTGAAGTTGGCTCCTTAACTTCCTGCTAATTTGAACTTGGTTCTGCCTCACCCTGATGGAGCAAGTCTGCAGCTTCTCTGAGTTCTGGGCTCAATTGGCCCCTCTCCAAGTGAATACTAGGCAATTGCCCACTCCTGGAGGACATCTGAACCCAAATAACTCACCAGCCACTGCAACTCACTGTATCCACTACTCCATTCCATTGGTGCATTTCTCCTGGGAGGCCTCTGGGGTCACCAGTACCACCATGAATTTGCATGTTTGAGCCGCCCTTCCCATTCATTGAGTCAGGGATCAGGGAGAAAATGCTGCTTGCCACCTCCTTCTACATTGGAGTCTCTCTCTTCACTCACCCAATGGGCCTCCATTCTGGCTTCAGATCCTTGCTGGGTCCCAGGGACTCACTTTCCTCCTCCTTCTCTTCCTCACTTTGCTGTATTCCAGAATGTAGATGGCAAATGTTGGAAAGGCTATTTCTCTGCTGTTCACCACTCTACCATCTTCCTGAAAGTTACTAATGTTATAATTCCGCTCTAGTCTTAATATTTTCTTATTTGAGCAGTGGATAGGAAAAGGCTTTCATCATGGCAGTAAGAAGAGCTTCACAGATGGGGAGTAGCAATTGTAAAGCAGAATCCAAGAAAATAACTGTACATGTAATGTTGTTACCACAGAATCAATCCCCCAGCTAGCTTCCAGGCTTTTGTATACAATGAGAAGTGTGTTATAAAATGTACATCCACGGTAAGAGAAAAAGCAAGCAGCCACATTGGCGGGGGGTACCTTGTTATAGATCCCACAATTCCAGGAGGGAAAAAGGACCAGTTTGGAGTGTGGATGTGATAGCACTCTTGAGAGTGCCTGGTGCTGGATTAGCCAAGGACACTGCTACTTCACTGTCAAAGAGAGACATTTACCCTCCAACATGAAAGCCCAGGAGGCCAAAGGAAGGGCATCCAGCCCAGGCCAGGTAGGGATGAGTGGAAGGAGGAGGCAGCAGGGCAGAGATGATGAGAGCACACTGCTCTGCTCCATGCCCAGTAGGCTCCCACATAATCATCAAAGCTACTGCTGGCTTTCATGTGCCCAAACCTTTCCTTCCTCATGAGTCATTTTGGGATATAACTGACTGAACAGAATAGCTGAAAGGCAATTTAGTCACATCAATGAACAACTGGGATGGGCTCCCAGGCATGGTAGCACACATCTGTAATTCCAGCACTCAGGAGGCTGAGGCAGGAGGATCACAGAGAGTTCAAGGCCAGCCTGGACTACATAGTGAGACACTGTCTCCAAAGAAATGCTCCAAAATTGCTTGGGTTTGAATCTCAACTTGTGATCATAAGCTGGGCTAGATGACTGGCCCTCCTTCATCTCAGCATTTCTCATCTGTAGACGAGAGGTGATACGATAGTGCTTAATTCTGAGATTACTATACAAATTACAGGCTTTAATATTTGTGCCAGGCTTAGAACAGGGCTTGGCATGTGGTTTCATTAGTGAATTTTAAAAACAATTATGATGATTTGATGTTATTAATACATGACTGTGACTGACTATGGGCTCTGCTGACAGGCCCATCTGGGTTTGCTCTTAACTGTCTTCTGGTTCCAGTGAGCTTCAATGTCACTGTATAAACAAGCAAGGGACCATCCCCACCTTCAGAAGGGCCTGCTGGGGAGGAACCAGGAGAGCTGGGTGCCGTGACCCAGGTACCTGACCTCAGACCCTGCAACTTCCTCTCATCTCCACCACACAGGAAGTGGGGGGAGCTTCCCTGGCCAGAGGAAGTGCTGGTCTCCATGTCAGCCATGTTTGCCATTTCAGGTGTGGCCAGTGTGGCCATGACTTCATTTTCGCTGGTTCCTCTGAGGAAGGAGAGACCAGCTGTGCAGCTCACATAGAGGGTTGCGTGCTTCCCTGGCCTCTCCAGGACCAGCACCCCATCTTCAGAACTTGGGCTGAGATGTCTAGAGTATGAAAGCCAGGTCTCTTCAATCGAGAACATCACCACCCCTCACCTCACAGGGCAGGCGGCTACACACAGCCCATTTTATTTCCTGCAATGAGGAGCACTGCTAATGTCCCACAGTGGGGCAGGAGACTGTGGCAGGCCAGGCAGGTGGGAGAAGTGGGTGGGACTTCATAATTGCAAAGGTCTAGGATTTGTGTGCTCAGAACAGCTCCTGAAGCCTCACCTCACTCTAGGACTTCTTGCAAGAACTGGAGCAGTTTTTGGACAGGTAGGGCTAGACCTGACCTCAACCTGAGGAGCAGAAAATGCAAAATGACGGTGGACATCCAGCTCTCTGCTACTGAACTGTGCTCACTCTTCACAAAGGTCCATGCTTGCCGTGTAGAGTGGACTTTTTTTCCTACTTTCACTTGGCCCAAAATTCGCTCTACAGGGCCTGTTTCTTTTTCCACCTTTCATAAACATAACATCTTACCACCTTTTGCACTTGTCTTGGCCAATTCTTTGCTCAGGACAGAAAAAAACTAGAAACCATCTCTAGAAGGAAACCCCAGCACTCCAAAACCTGGTCACAGTAATTCACCAAAACAGTAATTCACTTTATCTCTGACATAAAACCTTTTATATTGTGTATAGTACCTGGAGAGAATATCAATAATTCAATACTTTGTCAGCTTTGAGATTCACTCCCCAATGTCACAGATGTTACAATGTGGATAAAAATGCATCTTTTTGTTTGTTTGTTTGTTTGTTTGTGACAAGATCTCACCATGTAGCCCAGGCTTGGCTTGAACTCATAGCCATCTTCCTGCCTCAGCCTCCTGAGTGCTAGGATTACAGGCATGCACCACTACACCCAGTTTAAAAATGCACCTTAACATGGGTGAAAACACACACAAGTGGCAGGAGGGAGAAGCAATCAGAAGAGGATGACACATATTCTACTAACTAGTGCCCCAACCATGTTCCCTGCTGGCTTGCTCTAACTCTGGGAATGCCAGTGCCGCATGTAGCCTTCATGCACCAGGGTGCATGCCCTCTCCACCACTTAAGGATATTGTTCTGTTCTCTGCATAGCAAGTTTTTCCCTCTACTGGCTCATTCCATGGCTACATGTAGGAAACAGGCTCTTTCCTAATGATTCCTCTCCAGTTCCTTTCCTTTCTTTCCTTTTTTTTTTTTTTTTTTTCATTTTTCTAATATGAGACATCTACCACTGAGATGTCCCTCCAATCTGTTTTTATTTAACTTTTGTTTATTTTGTTTGAGACAGGGTTTCTCTGTGTCATGCAGGCTGGCTTTGAACTCACTAGGGAGCCCAGTCTTCACCTCACAGCAGTCCGAGTGCTGGGATTACAGCCCTATACACACAGACCTATCTGCTCTTGCTCATGTCTCATCCTCTCCTCCCACTCTTCTCTGAATGCTGAGGGAGCACCAGCCCTCCCCCTGCTCTACTCCACTGAAATAGGCTCTCCCAAAGCCGCCAACCTCCTCACATTTCCTATTTCCGCAGGTCACCGTCAGTCCCTAGCTCGCCCAGCTTGGCAGCAGTGGCCCTCAACGGTGCCTCCCTGGGCTCTTTGCTCCTGCTCTAGCTGCTCCTGCCTGGCTGCATCCCGGCTCTGCCCCAACACTCAGGCAGGCCCAGCACAGATTTTTCCTCTACCAGCCCCAGAACTCAGGGCTTGTGGAACAGATGTCCCAAATCATGAATTCCACCTCAAAGAGGCTCTTCTCAAAGTCTTCCCTATCTTAAGAAACAACAATTTCTCCAGGTGACCTGGTCCCAAACCTGGAAACCCAAATCACCCTGCATCAAGTCCTGTGTCCCCAGAGAAGATTGGTTCTCACAGTTTTCATTTGCTGCCACCCTCACCCTGGTCACTGCCTCTCTCCTGGACAGTGTAATAGCTACTAAATGCTTTCCTCCGGTCCACCCCTCGCATGGATGCCACCATGAACCATAAAGCCATGCCCTTTGCATTTTCCTGAACAAACTCTCCAAGGAATCCTTTTCCAAGGTGGACCCTTCACGGTCATCCAGCTGTCTCCCTCTTGGGCTCCAGGCTCACTGGAGGCCTTGCTGCTCCTAGATTGCACCCCTCACTCCCTCCTGGTCTCTTCTTCCCCAGCCACCTGCCAACCCTCACCCCTTGGGGCCTGACTCCATCTGGGGGCCGCCCTGGCCAGTTCCACAGTGTCTGCCTTTGCATCCACCACTCTTCACACTACACGGCTCCTGGGGCCAGCAGTGTTTGTGGCCCCACTTGAGTATAAGCTCCAAAAAGCTGAGGACTTTGCACCCGGCTGCTTCCTCAGCACCAGGCTGTGCTGGCACTGGGCAGACACTCCACAATGTGTGCAGTGACTTCTCCGTATGGCTAGAAGGTTGGAAGAGACCCAGCAGATTTCCTCTGCCAGTGTCTCTCAGCCACTCTCCCTCCCTTCCCTCCCTGGCTCACTGCCACCCCACCCCTCTGTTCTCCCCTCTCGTCCCTTCTGAAGTCACTTGGCAGCTTGTGTGACACAGTCCAGTGTCTCTACATGTGCTCACTTGCCCCTCCACACCCAGCTGTCCTGCAAAGCTGCAAGGCATTTGAAATTGAGAGTGGTGTGGTATTCCCCTGTGTATCCCCAGCCCTCACACAAGCAGTGCCTGGCACACTGTAGGCCCTCAGAAGATGTTTGCTGAAGTTCAACACGGTGGTGCATGTCTATCATCCCAGCACTCTGGGAGGCTGAAGCAGGACTGTGAGTTCAAGCCCATTCTAGATACCTTAATGATTTAGCAAGACCTAGTCTCAAAATAATTGGGGGAGGGAAGCAGGGCTGGGGATATAGCTTAGTGCAAAAGGTTCAATCCCATTCACTTCTAAAACAAGGAATGTTCCTTTTTGACAGAGTCTTGCTATGTAGCCCCATAGTCTTGCTATGTAGGGCTGCAAGAGATCTTGGGTCCGGATCTCTCAGAGATGATGAAAGTACCAGCCTCAAACTCAGACCAGTTCTGTCTCAGCCTAAATGTTCCTTTCTTGCTTTATGCCAAGCTCTGTAGTCAGACCATGTCTTGGGTAAAAAAATGAAAAGGTCGGGAGTGAAGCTCGATGTGAAAGCCCTGGGTTACATACCCAATACCACACACACACACACACACACACACACACACACACACACACTAAGCATAATATTTCAGCTCAACAAGCATCTACTATCTATCTACAATGTTATAGTATTATACCCTGAGGTAGATGTTAAGGATGAGTTGGTGGTTGGCCCAATGTCCAAGTTACTGGCTTGAGGTCCATCAAATAGTTTTTTTGGGATAGCTTCTTACTATGTATGTCAAGCTGGACTTAAAATAGATATGGAGCACAGGTTGGCCTCTGACTCATGATTGTCCTGCCAAAACCTCTTGAGTGATGGAATTACAGTCACTTGGCACTTTTTCCTTTACAAATGTATGTATATTATGTATGTATATTACTGAAGACTGAACCTAGGGCCTTCATTCTAAGCTACATCCCCAGCTATTTTCTTTACTTTCTTTTCTTTTCTTTCTTTTTTTTTTTTTTTTTTTAAGACAGGGTTTGAAAACCCTGGGCTAGCTCAAACTTTTGATCCTCCTGCCTCAGCCTCTTGAGTGCTGGGATTACAGGCGTGCATCAGCCTCTTTGTAACTCTAAATAGTGCACACCTCCCAGCCAGAGGACTGCAGCATGGAAGATGAGTTTCAGAGAGGTCGTAACGCATCCTTGTGGTTAGGACTGTGGCCTGTAAAGGCTGGGGTCCCATGCCTGGGCTCAGCCTGCATGCCCCATTAGCTAGCTCCCTGACCTTGAACAAGCTTTTAATCTCTGAGTACTTTCTCCCTCCTGTAGAAAATAGAGAAGATAGCTTTTGGTACAGGGCTTTTGGGAAGATGAAATGAGATACTGCATTACAGCATATCAATCATGACCAAGAATGCATTGCTGTCACTATTTTCCTCGTGATAACTCAGGTCTGTGGGAGGATACAGAACTCAAGGAGGTGGTATGCCGTCTAGCTCTGTCACAGATGTAAATTACCTCCTAACTGTGATGGAAGAGTGGGCCTAGGGTGAGACAGAGGAACAGAGCTTTTCTTGTATGTAACAGTAAATCCAGGGTTCCCGAGGCTGCAGCTATCTATTTGATTGGTCTTTGACCCAGAAGAGGATTAGGAAGTAGAGGTACGCGTTTTCTACTCAGTCCCCATGAGAGTTTCCACATCCAGGTGTAACTGTGGGAGCAAAAACCCTTTGTTCCCCTATGCCAGTCACCTGGGGTGACTGGGAGCAGGGTTGCAGAGCACAGCCTATCCGAGACCTCGGCTGTGAGTACCAGTGCTGGTTCTGCCTTTGCTCAGCTGTGCTTCCTCAGGCACGCATGCACTGTTAGCCTCCTTTTCCTTATTTGCAGAGAGAATGATCATCATTGCCCCACCTCTACCTGTTATGGTCATTGTGAAAATTGAGTAAGTGCCCAGTTTATGCATAGGGTTCTTATATGGTTATTATTTTTATGAGAAGTCTTGTATTTGCTAACTCTGGCTCCTCTGCAGCAAGTTGCCTGTATTTATCTAACACTGCAAACTGAACCCAGGGCCTTTGTGCTGCATTCCCAGGCCCACCCCACATTCCCAGGAGCTACATTCCCAGGCCTACCCCACTTTTTTGTTTTTGTACTGGGGATCGACCCCCCTTTTTAAATTTTGTGACAGTGGCTTGCTAAAGCATCGATATCCTAAGTCTAGACTTGAATTTGGAATCCTCCTGCCTCAACTTCCCAGAGCACTGGGATTATAGATGTGTGGCACCATGCCTGTGTGCCATCATTCCTGGCCTGGGGCAAGTCTTGGAGTAGTGCTTCAGTGAGCAGTTATAATACTTCCAGGACAAGGCAGGAACTTGTTTGAGTGAACATAAGGGGTTTTATAATTATGGGTATTTTCTTCTACCATTTTCCATGAGCTTCTTTCAATCTGAGAAGGTTCCCAGACATCTCTAAATA